AGTCATTTGGCAGAGCATATTCATTTAGAGCTGTAGATGGAGGCATATTAGTTACGTGTAAAGGTAACAAACCAATTTTGTATAATTTCGGTGAAAAAAGTAAAGATTTTCCAATGTCCAATATACCAAGAAAGGCTCCAAGTGAGATTGTTTATGAAGAAAATAATGTGAAGTGGTGGTCAATACGTGGTGTATTTGAGATGCAAAAAGGTTCAAATTCTATTAGCATATCAATTGAGCCTTGGAATTTAAATGATGGTCTTGGTGCTTATTTGTTAAATGATTCGAAAAAGATTTTGATTTTTGGCACTCACACAATTCAAATTTACACAACAGAAGACCCCAAATTAATATTTATATGGTCTTGTTGTGCTAATGATCAAATAATTGATGTTAACATATGTGAAAATAATGAAACGAATTGTTATTTGTTGGTTGACACAATGGTGGATAAATTCAAAGTGATTCTACCAAGCGATCATCAAGATTTTTGCTATGAATCTATAATTTATTATTGTAAATTTTTGGGAACTTATTCATCACATTCGCGTATAAAACCTTCAAATGTCAGTGATTCAGCTTTTAAATCTTGGTCTAATTGGATCAGATTAACATCTGCAATTATAAAGCAAGAACTCAGAAATCTATTAAAAGATGTGCATCTATTTAATCGAATGTATGATGATAAATCTCCAATGGCATATCTAATCATTGCTGGATTCGAAGATGTATTGATTATTACATTTATATACATTTAATTGCTTATTTTTTATTGCTTATTTACTTGCGGTTTATTTACTTACTTCATTATTATATTTTTTTATATAAATTTTTTTTATCTGATCAGCTAATTTTGGACACATTACACACTGGTAAATATGTTCCTCATTTTTATGACATAGAAAAGAAGAAGTCATCATTATCAATTGCTATAGAATCTCATAAGACAACAATAGTGTCAGCTTTGATAAATTATTATGTTGAGAAAGCAATTAAAAATCATGACCCAGGATGGTTGAGAACAATTGTTCCTTGTCTGTCAAGCTTATGTGGATCATACCCTGATTTGGTACAAAAAATTATCAGCAAAGTCATGTTTATCAAAGTTAAAATGGCATTAGGAAAAATACATGATGAAAACTATCGAACTGGTGGGGTTGAGCGCAGCGATAAAGAATATTTATATGCATTTACTTTTAATGGTTCCTTACAAAAACATCATTATGGATTATTCAAATACTGGTTGAAATATACTAGAATACTTGGAAAACCTTTATATATATTGGATGAATTCCTTGAAAAATTGGCACATACTAAATCACATCCCGTTAAATTATGTGTACTTCCATTACCTGGTATTATTTAAAGACCATTTTCTTTTTTTTCCCCTTTCTTCTAAATTTATTATCTATTTAGCATTGACAATTTAAGATATTATTATTGTTTGATAAAGGGTTTCTTGAGTATGATTACGAAGGAAAAAGAGAACCAGGATGTGTCGGAAGATTTAATATATGGAATAGATCCCATTCAGTATTTTCAGATTTAGCATTTAAAAATGATAAAACCATTTTTAATGGAAAAATGATGCAAGTTGTATCAAATCAGGTATTTTTTAATAATTATTAAACATAAATATGTAATAATTTCAATTATACTTAATAACTAAATGCATTTATGTATTTATATTTAATTA